AAATTAAAAATAAAATTAAAAAAGAATATATATATATATATATATATATATATATATACACACACACACACACACACAACTGCATTCAATATTCAGTAATGTGATTTTCCAAAGGGATTAATTAATTTCCCCAATATGTCAAAAATCACAACAGATCAGTTTTGTGCATCATGGTTTAGCTACCACTTAAATACATTAAATAAACAATAACTATGTAACCAGTCTTAATTTTAGGATTTTGGCTGTGAAACTGAAGCACATTGTCACTAATCCTCTTTATACACATCCTCCTAATTGTAATTTTCTTTTATTGTGTTCCACATATTTTACAGCTTTTTATTTGTGCTTAACATCCCAAGATTAATTTCTTTAAAAAATGTAAATAAATAATATTAAATAAAAAATATCAATGCGTGTAAAATAGAAACGCAATGTTATTTGAAACAAAAACTGCATATTGTAATTGTATTGCATGTTATCCTGAATAACCCTCAGTGATCATAAAGATTTCTCATTTACAGACAAAATACAAACCAAATTACACACTTTAAAGCTATTTGTCTTTTTCTGCAGTATTTCTCCTTATCAAATTCCTATTGTTACATCTTCATCGACAATAAAAAATAATTCTTTTTTTTAAATGCAAAACTCAAAACACAATAAGACAAAGATCCTTGTGGGTTTAAACATGAAAACATAATCTAACTTAGATGCAAGAAAGGGACTTTGTTATTATGTTATGATGGAAAATGTATTTATACCACATGAGAATGAATAGCTCCCATAATCCTTTTTAGTTCTTTTCAAGCAAATAAATATTGTTTTCTTGATTTTACATTACTGAAGTTCTGTTCTTTTGATAATATTACCCAGTTAACATAGCTGTAAAACTCTGTCTCGTGCGGCCCTTTCATATCTAGTTTTCTAGGTGAGCAACCAGGAGCTTAGTGGGATATAATTCAAATGCCACAAGTTATCTGTAGAGTTTTATGAGTTGATAAATGTCACGATTTGTGATTATCATCATGTCACGACAAGTGACCCAAACACGCAAAGTATAACCCAAACAGAAAACGTATTACAGTACCTTAGAATGGCCGGGCTCAACGTAGATAGAAGAGTCGAGGATAGCCAAGGATAACGATAATGAATAGCCAAGTCAGTGAACCAGATAACAGGAAGAACGAGAAAACAAGCCAAGTCAGGATACCAGAATGGAGGATAGTCAAAAGTCACAAGCCGAGTCCAAATATGAATTAGAGGGAACAAAACTATGAACCACAATAGGGCACTCCTTTTATAGTGGAGCATCTGTTTCTTTAAATCCACGCCCCCAAAATGTCAGCGAGCGTGGAATACTTTGAAATTTCGTGGCATAGCCGTTATGACGTCGGCACGAGTTGGAACCCTGAGCCACACCTCACAGGTTAGTGGAAGAAAGGTAAGGTATCGTGACACATCACGATTCTCTAACATAGAAAACTGTCACTGTTTAAAGAGCACCTGTGTAATAGACCTTCAGGGTAATCAACTAAACTAAGAATTTAACCCCTTAAGGACCAAACTTCTGGAATAAAAGGGAATCATGACATGTCACACATGTCATGTGTCCTTAAGGAGTTAGAACACCACATTTGGGACAAAATATGCACAACAGCTGTTCACTAGAATTCGGAGGTTCCTAGGTCATGAATATAACTTAGAAAGGTACTTAACCAGCTCCCCTCTTTACAGCATACTGTGGCAAGACAGAGTGCTGTAGAAAACATAAGTAGACACTTGGATTTAATAGCTGGTTGGTCCTCTTTTGGCAGCAATGATCTCCACCAAGCATTTTCCCTAGCTGCAGATTAGACCTGCACAACGTTCAGGGGGAATTTTGGACCACTCTTTCTTACAGAAGTTCTTCAACTCATATTCCTTAGTATGTTTGGTGTGAGCAGTTCTCTTTGTACAGTCATTATACAGCATCTCAATGTGGTTTTTGATCTGGGCTCTGATTGGGCAACTCCAAAAGGCAGATTTTCTTTTTTTGAAGCCATTGTGTAGTGGATTTACTTCAGTGGTTAGGATCGTTGCTGTGATGCACTACCAGAGTTCAACTAGGCTTCAGCTGGTGGTCAACCACCCTGATATTATCCTGTAGGATATCTTGATAAACTTGGAAACTCAGTTTTCCTTTGATGATAGCAAGTGGTTCAGGTACAGAAGCAGAAAAGCAGCCCCAAATCATGATGCTCCTTCCACTGTATTTATTTGTTGGGCTGATGTTTTCTTGTTTATATGCAGTTCCCTTTTTACACCATACATAGTGGTGCATGTTCTTTCCAAACAACTCAACCTTTGTTTCATCAGTTCACAATACATTTTCCCAGTAACATTGCAAGTGGTCTTCTTCACGGCTTCATGGTCTTCTGCCATTGACACCATGCCTGTTCAATTTTTTCCATACAGCAGACTCATAAACATAGATTTTAACCAGCTCCAAAGATATCCTCAAGTCTATAGGTGTCAATCTAGGGTTCTTTTTTGCCTCATAATGCGGTGTGTGTTTTGAGTAGTTTTGGCTGGATGGCCACTTCTAAGGAAAATTGCCACAATATTAAATCTTTTTCATTTATAGACAGTTTAACAGTGGACAGATGAATATCCAAGCTCTTAGAAATAACTTTGTAACACTTTCCAACTTTATGCAACACGTCAATTCTTGATCGCAGGTCTTCTGAGAGCTCTTTTTTTGCTAGGTCTGGTTCAAATCAACAGTTGTATTTTTGTGATTAGCTAAGTAGTTCTAACCCACACTTCAAACCTTGTTTCATTAATTGGACAGCAAGATTTCAAATTTCCAACTTTAATTAGCTTTTGTTGAAGTCATAAGCCTAAGGTTTCACATACTTTTTCAAACCTATACTGTGAATATTCGTATGATATATTCAATACATACAAGACTAAGTACATAATGTGTGTGTTATTAGCTAATACACATTGTGTTTGTTGATACTGTAACTTAGATGGACATCAAACCTGACAAATTTTAAGACAAATGTATTTGTTTAATTTATTTATTTATTAATTAATGTATGCAGTCATTTATGAAGGTTTCACATACTTTATATGTGGGAACTGAGATGTTAAAATATGCAAGAAGAGCAAAAGAGTGCCACTGATGACTATGCTGAGTGCCCACCACATTCCAGGCTTGCTTATGTTGGACCTGCTGACATGATGCAGCTCGATGACTCCTCTAAATGCCTGGAGTTTATTGATAGTTTAAACATATGTATGAAATGTATGGTCGGACATATCATTTTTTCTCTATGGAGTTGTGTGAAGAGCGCAAATATTAAGAATAAACACAGAACTTCTACAAAAGTCCAAATATCAGAATATATCAGTGGAGCAATGGTTCATAAATTACTGTTATTCTTAAAAGGTCGATGCAGCCTGGAACTGACTGGTTCATTTTTAATGCATTGTATAAGTACTACATAAAAAATATATGTGACATCAATCAATAATAATAAGTAATAAAATAAATGCTCAATTTACAAGTTCTTTAATTTTGCGTAAATCCCCATAAATCACAATTGTGGAGGTGAGGCTGATCAACAGAAATCAAAGCTCACGCAAAGCTACACAAAGCAGGGGTTTAAAAGGTGCCAAAATGTTCTTGGTTAAATAACCTGGAGTATTCTAATTCCTAAAAACAATATTTTTTTTAGAATTTCTAAGTTGTAGAACAGCTATTTAAATGTTAAGCTTTAAAATAGTAATTCAATCCTTGCAATTTTTAACTTATAACTTCCAAAACATGTTTGCAATCCTAAAACTATGAGCAGGTCTGGCCGGGGCATTTTTAAATCACAGTGGCCCATTGAGAAGGGGGCTGGGCCAGAGAGGAGGTTTTTTGTTATGACCTATGACAAGCATGCATCATCTCAAAGTAAACATGTTGGTTCAATGTGCAGAGCCCTGCTGAAGAGCTCTCGCATGAGAAAATCTGAGGTATACAGGAGGACAAAAAAAAAATAAGATTAAAGTCTGATTTTGACAATAATTTGCGCCTATTGAGGGCCATGATGTGCCGACGCATCGGCATGCACCGCTGCTGTGACGGAAGAGGAGGGGCAGCCCCCAGGGACGGTGAGATCTGATGCAGCTGCCTTCGGAGGACGCGATCTTGCTCTCGTTCCCATGCTTGTTCCAATGCTGAGGGGTATATGCAGTGAGGCGGTGACTGAGTCTATCTACCGGTGTCCACTGCTTGAAATGAATTGAATGTCTCTCCAAGAGTAGACTCTTTTTACCTCTTTTTTCTTTCTGTTATCAAATATACCAAAGCTATGGATCCTAGAAGCTAAAAGCTAATTTCTAGTCTGCTAATTGTTGAAGTTCTTGACGCCGGACACGGATGGTCAATGCATAAAGACTGGCAGGCATTTAAAAACATTTGAAACATTTGAAAATATTTGAGCCTCTAAGCAAGAAAAATTTAATCTGCGTTTTTTTTTACTGCTTAATAGGTTTTTTTGGTTTTTTTTCTGTTAAAGTATAATTAAAGCATACTATAACAGTCAAAATTTCCAACTTGGAAGACAATCTAAGTGTATATTGCGACTGTTACGCACAAAAATTTACAAGCTAGTTCAGGAACTTTTCTGGACAACCATTTAATCTGTTTTTCTCCTCCCCTAAGAAACAAATCAAGATAATTTTCTCTCGCTAGGACTCATAAGAGGAATGGGCTAAGTGAAATATTTAAAGGGCAAGCCTGCAACCAAAGGAAAGGGTTTAGCAGAGGTAATCTAAGCCAAAACTATCTGATAATATCACCGGGCATATAATCCTACAATCATCGGGGTCTGAAGGAAACAGAAGAGAGAAGAAAAGAAAAAAACAAGAAAAGAAACAAACCATATTCATTTATAATGGCTTCAAGAAAACCTGAGACAAAAATTTCATCAAGAAAGGATAAAAAAGAAGCTTCTCAGGATAAATCTATGAACATCTATTTTTCACCACAACAGCATAAAACTTTGAAACAGAAATTGAATGATATTGACTCTAGTAATGATACCCTGGATCAAGAGGAAATAAAAGTCTCTGATAAGGATCAAGTAACTTCTTCAATATTGCATAATAGCCTAAGAGCAAACCTGGACGCAATAAAACTGGAATTGGCTTCAATGGCAGCAGAAATTAAAACAGAAATTAAACAGGAGATCAATATTCTTGCTGTGAATATGCAGAGATTTGAGGACCAACTCCAAGAAATGGATTACCAAGTAAAATCTCTTACAGATGAAACCCAAAAGGCTCACAGTAAGATTTTGGTCCTTGAACTTAAATTGATGGAAATGGAAGATCACAGTCATTGGAAAAATTTACGATTTAGGAATATCCCAGAGAAACCTACACAAGAAGATATAAGACAAACTCTGTTAGACTTCTTTGTAGCGTTGGGAATCACGTTTGACCCACACGATCAGATAATAGAAAGCTGTCATAGGTTGTTAAAACCCCAAGCTATTAAGAAGGACGTCCCCAGAGACATTATTGTCTGCTTTTTTTCGTACCAGTTTAAAGAATTAATTTTGAAGTTTGTAAGAGAAAATCAGATCAAAGCGGGGAAGTTTCAAAATGTAAAAGTTTTTCGTGATATCTCTTTTGAAACTAGATAAAGTAGGAAAACCTTTGCTGTTGCTACTCAAATCTTAAGATCTCATGACATAAGATATAAGTGGCTAAATCCCTTAACCCCTTAGGGACACAACTTCTAGAATAAAAGGGGATCATGACGGAATATTTCCGTCATGTGTCCTTAAGGGGTTAAAGATATCTTTGGTCTATGAGGAAAAAAGAGAGAATTTCAATTCAAATTTAGTCGAATGGTTGAAGAGTAAGAAATTATTATAGCAGAATAATCAATACAGGAGAAAAACGTTTTTTTTTTTGTTTTTTGTTTTTCATATAGCATATTTAGATATAAATCATAAGATTGATAGGGGAATTTATGTTAGGATTTACTCACTAAAAATTGTTGGATCTATTTTTCAAGAAAATTGGATCCTTATAGGATTCAAATTAAATGTTCACAAAATTAAATAATACACATTTTGGGCTGAGTGCATGGTATCAGGTAAAGCTGTAACCTTAAACAATTCTTCACATTAATATGGCTGAATATATGGATGAAGGTGTTATTTATAGTTATGTATATATATTTTTTTTTCTTCTCTGATAGAAGGGATCACTAGGAATAGTATAAGAATGTGTCTGGAGTATTAATAACGAGACTGAGGGTTGTTTCTATACTAGGGTTCTTGTTATATTTAACACTGATAGATGTTTATTACATAATTTAGAACAAAGATATCACCCTTTTTAACACAGTAGGTTCGCCTTATAAATGAAGGAATATGGAAAAATAACTTTCTAGAATTCTCTCTCTGATTTATTCATAATAATAAATTCACTAAATTTTTTTTTAGATAATTGGTGTTTTATAGGACTCAATTATACGTTTGTGCTACTATAATACATAACTTGGGTGGTAAGCATGGTATTAGGTAAAGTAAAACTCTTTAAAAATTGTCTAAACTTACATGGTTTAATATACTGATTGAAGGTGTTATTTAAATATATTTTTTTTAATCTTTTTTTTTATTTTTTTTTATTTATTTGTTTTTTTTCCCTTATCTCAGAAAATTTAGGAGAGGTTCAGTACTGACCTCCAAGCTGGCACCCTGTTTCCCTGGAGGATATGCCCCTCTTTGTGTATTATTACTACATTGTTCTCGTCGATTTCTTTTGGAAATCTACGGTATAATAGTACTATGTCATTTTTATTGATTCATGTTGTGCGTGATGGGCAGACCTATGTTCTTTCCCTCCACACTATGGGTGGCATGGTGTGTTTTTTTTGTGTTTTTTTTGAGCAGGAGATACATGAAATTATTGATATAAATATATGTTAAAATTATTGTCTATAAATGTCCAGGGCCTAAATACCAATAGAAAAAGAAGTAGACTGTATAATTCCATTAATGAACATAATATACAAGTGGCATTCATACAAGAAACTCATTGGCTCAAAGATTCTAAAAAAAAAAATGGGGGGGAGACAAATATACAACTATTGTTCACGCCTTATTACTGAATAAGAAAAAAAGAGGGGTAGCAATCATTTTTAATAGAGATATAAAGCTTGAAACGATACATATTGAATTAGATCTGGAAGCTAGATTTATAATAATGATCTGTGCTATTGATAATAGGATTTTTACACTGGTTAACGTCTATCTTCCTAATGCAGATCCTATGTCTAAATTTACGACTATAATGGAAAGAGTTGCGAAGGTCTGTAAGGGACACGTAATTGTAGCTGGTGATTTCAACTGTGTGAGTGATCCAAAACTAGACAAGATGTAAATATCTTCTCTCACAATCGGTAAAAGAACCATGAAGCAGGCCAAACAATTAAATAGTATTTGTAAACAATATAATCTCCACGATATATGGAGACTATTACACCCGTTGGAAAGAGATTATTCACACCAATCCTGTGCACATGGTTCATATGCACGGATTGATTTCTGTTTAGTTGATGCTAACTCGATACCTTTGTGTAATTCGATAAAAATTGAAGAGAGTTTATGGTCAGATCATAGTTTTATATTAATCGAGCTTGGAAATAAACCATCTAGGACCCGTAATACTTGGAGACTGAATGATGCTCTTATTAACGATCCCAAGATTAAGGATGAATTAACTCAGTTACTAAAATATTTTTGGTTGGAAAATAACTCCACTGATACATCTCCAGCTAATAAATGGTGTACACATAAATCTGTTATGCGAGGGTATATAATTAAATTAGAACATATAATGAGACGAAAGAGTGGCAAGCCTCTAGCCGATTTGTATATTGAATTTTATCATTTATCAAATTTAAACAAACAGAATCCATCTGTAGAATTAAGAACCCATTTAAATGCTATACAAAGACAAATTAATTTAAAGGTTGAACAACAAATTAAAGCAAATATCTATAAATTAAAATTAAAGAATTACAATACAGGCAATAGGGCAAATAAAAATTTGTCCAAAAGACTGCAAAATCAGCATGCTAAAAATAAAGTGGAAAAATTGAGAGATGATGATAAAGTCTTTTTAACCCCTTCTCAAATTGGGGAGAAATTTAATCAATATTATGAAGACTTGTATAATCTTAAAATATCTCCTAATTTAACGGACATCCAGAATTATCTAGCCAAAACGCAGATTCCGAAAGTTTCACGTCAGGATTTATTAACTTTAAATAAAATTATTGCGCCAGAGGAAGTACAATTTCAAATAAATAGATTACCAACAAATAAAACACCAGGCCCTGATGGTTTCTCTAATTTATATTATAAGCATATGCAGTCTTTATTGATAGCCCCGTTAACAGAAATGTTCAATCAGATAGCACTAAATGCATCCTTTCCATCTGAATTATTACAAGCTAATCTCATTCCAATGTTGAAACAAAACAAGAATAGCTCAGACCCTAGTAGCTATAGACCTATAGCATTAATTAACGTGGATATGAAACTATACCCCGCGATTATTGCGGAGAGAATCAAGACTATTATTTCGGGTCTGATTCACCCGGACCAAATTGGTTTTGTCCCGGGAAGAATGGCTTCTAATAATATTAGAAGAATAATAGATATTGTAGATATCACCAACAGAGATGGCTTTCCCCTTCTGGCCCTAGACGCCGAAAAAGCGTTTTACAGGGTCAGATGGAGTTACCTGAGTGAGGTCTTGAATGCCTTTGGGTTCACAGGCTGGATATATAATGCAATATTGGCTTTGTATTCTTTTCCCACGGCTAGAACTATAGGCCCAAATATAACTGCGGGTTGGTTTGAACTTAAAAATGGAACGCGCCAAGGATGTCCTCTTTCTCCTTTGCTCTATATTCTATCCCTTGAACCATTGGCTATAAATATAAGGAATAATCCGTTGATTAAAGGTATACATACAAAATCTGCGGATATTAAAATATCATTATATGCGGATGATGCGTTAATTACTCTTACATCTCCAGAAGCTTCTGTATCCTCTTTGATGTGTGAAATTGACAAATATTCTAGTGTCTCAAATTTTAAGCTAAATATCACTAAATCCTCGGTAATGTTTATCAATATGAGTAATGACCAGGTAAACATATTATCCCAGATATATAAATGTATATGGACAGATAAAGAAATAAACTACCTAGGTTTAGTTATAACCTCCAAAGTCTCTAGTATTATTGAGAGGAATGTTTGGACTCTTATGAAAAATATGAATATTAAACTAAAAAAAATGGAAAAATCTGGAAACTTCTTGGCAAGGCAAAATAAATATTATCAATGCATATATTCTTCCTAAGTGGTTATATCTCCTTTCAATGGTCCCATTGAAGGTCCCAAGACCCTGGCTAGCAATGATCCAATCGAGTTTTAATAATTTTATCTGGAATAATAGGAAACCTAGAATCAGTCAGAAAATTCTGAGCAAAAAATTGATTAATGGTGGATTATATTTCCCTAGCATTATCTATAGTTATTACGCAAATATTGTTATGCATATACATATTTTACAGGACCTTAATTCGGTTTCCGAACCATGGTTCATTATTGAATCTGATCAGGCTCATAATCCAAAATTACAATACTCTATGTGGACAATTACTAGGCCCATTCTAACGAATGCTTCTTCAACAAATCTATTTACATTATATCAAACTTTGGAAGAATGGTTAGGAATCAAGAAAAAAATGGGCCTTAATAATAATCTTATACCCAAGTCGTGTAGACTTGATATACTGGAAATAATTATAGAAGACTTCTCGGTAAAAAATTGGGTAAATGTTGAAAACTTAAAGATCACAGATATTATGCAGGGTGATAATGTTATGCCTTTTCAATCTATTATAGACATTTTCCATATACCTCGGAGAGAAATTTACACTTATCTTCGTTTGAAACATTTCATTCCAAAAAATGTAATTAACTCTTCTTCTCTATTTGCTAAAAAAATAGAATTGATATTTAGCAATTGTTCTATTAAAAAGGTTACATCTGTCGCAGCCTCTATGTTGGAAGGTCTTAAGGATCTACCCCATAAATTGATAAGTCTGGGAACAAGAATTGGAATTGGAGATTCACTTGGATGACTGGAATGCTTCTTTGAGTCATGTAAATAAATACATTCACTGCTTAAATTTGTCTGAATGCCACTTTAAACTTCTTTATAGATGGTACTATACCCCGACTAGATTAGCTAGAATGTATGAATCCTATGACCCTACATGTTGGAGATGCGGCAGCCATACAGGTACATACATCCATATATGGTGGTCATACCCTGCGGTCCAAACCCTAATATCTTTATGACTTTGACTGACAATAGAATTCCGGAAAATGCTGTATCTGCCTTGTTGCATCTCAACTTGAAATTTACACAAAAAGATATTTGTTTTGCTATTCATTGTTGAGTTGCTGTTAAAATTATTATTGCAAGACACTGGAAATCCTCAAAGCTGTTTCAGAAAGGGACTCTGATTAATCAAATCATGTTCCAAATTTCAATGGAATATGATTTGATTAAAAAAAATTCATTTAAATCTAGGAAAAAAGAATGGTATCATGAATGGCTAGGAAAATATAAGGGTATATATGGAAACACTTCCTCTGACTTAGATTCTTTTTAGTAAATTAATATTGGAATTAACACTGGACATATTCAATAACTATTTAATATTGCACAAAATAGGTATGATTAATATTGCAATCATAAAGTCGTACTAAAAAACGAATGGAAAATGTTAAGAGAAATATTAAAATGTATACACACACATGTTCTATCAATCTTTCTGTTGAGAAATTTGGGAAATTTCCTTGTATGGTTTAAGGTGATAGGTATTCCTGCTAATGTGTTTTTTTTATTTTTTATTTTTGTATGTGGTCATGTTCCATGTTTCAAGTAATTTATGTGATATTGTAAAGAAGACATGGAATAAGGAAACAAAAGGAGTGAAGTAGACTATGTATATTGATGAAGAATGTTTAATAATATACGTAATTATGTAACTATTTATTTGTCTGTCATATATGTTATGAATTTGACTGCATGGTGTAGTATATCTGTTGTATATGAAAAAACTCTTAATAAAAATTAATTTAAAAAAAAAATTACTCACCTCATTAAAATGGCAGACTTAGTTCAGTGTAATAGTTGTTATGCATTTGTTTCATGTTCCACTTTTTGGAGATTTGGATGATGTCTAATCTGTAGACAGTTCTCTATATTGCGGCAGGAGATCATATTTTTGAAGTCTGAGATTTGTAAATTATCCGGTAAACAAACTCAGGCTGGAACTGTTGCAAAGCCACTGCCGCAGAGATGTACTAAGAATGACAGATGGATTATCTGGTATCTGGTAGACTTATCTTGTAGACTTAGAGTTGTGGATAAAAGGCATATTGCACAGTCTGTTGCTCTACATAATTAATTTTCTGCACTTACAGAGTGTAATGGTGTTATGGAGACATTCTCAGGTACCAGGTGTAGTGGTGTTATGGAGACAGGCACTGAGGGTAGTGGTGTTGCGGAGACAGGCTCAGGCACTGAGTGTAGTAGCGTTGTGGAGACAGGCTCAGGCACTGAGTGTAGTGGTGTTGTGGAGACAGGCTCAGGCTCCGAGTGTAGTGGTGTTGTGGAGACAGGCTCAGGCACCGAGTGTAGTGGTATTATGGAAACAGGCTTGCAGACTATGGTGAGGCCTAAGAGAAAGCAGTTGTTGTTGGAGGATTCTATTAGAAGAGGTGTGGATCTGGACAACAAGGGTCTTGTGAGATGTCTTCCCAGAGCTACTGCTCACAGAGACAGGAGATGAATTTGTAATATTGTTAAAAGACCACTAGAGGCACCCAGACCACTTCAGCTCAATGAAGTGGTCTGGGTGCCAGGTCCCTCTAGTTTTAACCCAGCAGCTGAAAACATAGCAGATTTAGAGAAACTGCTATGTTTACACTGAGGGTTAATCGAGCCTCTAGTGGCTGTTTCACTGACAGCCACTAGAGGCTGTTTCTGCGATTCTCACTGAAGAAACTCTGATAAGCCGAACCACCGTGTACATGAAATTCGGTCATCCTGAAAATTTTATTCTCACAAAATGTGGTTGAGCCAAAACAAACGTTTCCATTATGAAAAAGTCTAAATTCATTCATGACAATTCAGAGTTTAGTGAATAACTGTGTATGTCATCAACTGGCCACTACTCACTATTTAATGATTTTTAAAATGATTATGCAAATTAGATGAGCAAATTAGTGCAAACTGTCTTAGAGTAACAAGCCTCTGAGTCCAATTCTTCAGCTAATAGTTTAAATTAGTTTTTTTTTTTCGTTTTTTTTTCTGCACATCACTTGTTTTCTATCTGCATTGCAACTGGATCAAGGAATCATGCTTAAAATAGTCCATTTGTCCCCTTTCAACTTTCTTTCTGCATTGATCATTCAATTTGTTTCCTGCAAATCTTGTTTAATGATTTATATTTCTGTGACCTGACCATGAGATATTCTCTGTAGTAGGCAGAAAAGCCAGCAGGAAAATGTGTTAAAAACTTAATTCTGAAGATGGTTATGTTTGCCTTTTGCACTCGATCGTATATATATTTAGTGTTTGATGTAGCAGTATCATTGAAGTGTCAAAGGCATTGCTATAACGCTTTTCAAATAGTTTCCGTTAAAAAGATTTGCAAAACTTATTTTGGGAGAAGGGTGGAGATAAATGACTTATTTAATGCAAAAAAACTGTTATAAAAATATACGAACAGTAATTAGGCTTAAGCACAAATCTGTTGAACAATCAGTCACTATTAAAAGGATAGTTAAATTTTTTACATGCGGTGTTGCTAATGTTAACATGTTGAAGAAATATCATTTTTTTATTAAAACCTAATAGAATTTCTTTAGTAAACTAGAAATTGTGAAAAATTCCCAGGCATGTTTTAAAAGGTAATTGTCGCCAAGATTTTTAATGTAAAGTTTGCTTATCCCTATATTTTACAAATATGTATTTGTAAGGTATGAAAAATAAAACTAAATGTAGAGGCCCACATTATCCTGCAACTAGGTACCTTCATCTTAATACTATGTCAAACATTGTTGGAAGCTTGTTCCTTTGCATTTGGCAATCACCATAGAGAAAGCATACAAAGAAAAGGAGAAATTGTAAGGGAAATCACCTGAGATATGTATGAAATGAGGTTCCATATCCGTAAGTTAAATGAGTGCTCAGGAGAAAATAACTCTACACAGACACCCAGGTCAATATAAGAAGATTTCCTGTCTTTAATCCAAAGAGCCGTATTTATACAGTATAGTTATACAAGAGAAGCATGTGGCGGGAGTGAAAGAAAAGAGGTGGTGTATGAGTCATTTAAATGAAATGTGAAGGGAGTTAGTGCTTGCAGAGTGTATCTTGCATAGAAAGTTCCATTATCTACTTAATTTCGAGTTTATAATGCACAGGAGAGGGAGGAAGAACAGGACATAACTGGAGAACATTTTGAGGGTAAAGCAGGTAATTAGACTGAACTTGTATTATGTAGAAGACAAAATGGAGTCAATAGCTATATAAAATGGATGTTGGTTTATATCCATAACAAAATGAAGCACTGTTTTTATTTGCAATGATGTAATTATGATGTAATCCGCTCAACCTTTTTAATATAATTTGAAAAGAAATTGAAGCATTTCATGAAAAAAGGTTACCATAAGTTAAAGGTTATTTTAAAAATGTATTCAAGAGAAACAACAGAGCAGCCAAAATAGCCAATCTTTCATATTTGACTATGTTGATATAAATTTGCAATGACCATGTCAGTTATCCACAATTCCTGGTTTATTGAATACATTCTGCAGTTTCTTCCGATCTGAACATCTACTCTAAAAGCAACTACTAGGAGATTTTGCTACCTCCAGCTGCCTTTTGCCTTTTCTTGCTTCCCCCTTTTTTCTTTTAAGGTGCAGGGCGTTTCATTTCCACCTATTTAAACGTGCATATCAGTTGCACACAGGTTTTATGTACACATATTGGAGGTACCTTCTTATTAGGTGGCCTACTATTTGCTGCCATTTGTGTTGTACTTTTTCCCCTATCTATTTTTTGTAGTTCAAACAGCTTTTATTTGTGTCATCGAAAATGTACAACAGTGCGATGGGATAGCAAAATAGAAGACACGCAGGTCTCGCAAAATCGGGAACAGCAATATGATTATAAATGAATGTACACCTAAACAATATTAACAGTTAGAAGGTATTACAGTATCAGTATCAGTAAACACATCATGTTACATGCATTCAATATGCAGACGTCTGCATCTTATGGTCGTACATTAAGGAGTGAGTGTGTCACCTCTGGGTGAGCCAGGTATTGACTATGTAGTACGTGGCCAAGATTCGTCTGTTATCATAATGATTGCATATAGCCTAGGAGTATCTTCTAGGCGGGTAGGGGCCACTATAGCGTCTGTGGTATAGCTAACCTGAAAGTTTAATTTGTAGGGGGGACTCATTGTCCAATATAATATTGATAGATAGTGGGTTTCCATTGGGTCTTATTACCTTTGACCGCGTACACCTCGCGCAGGTCCTGTTCTGTCGTACGGGTGGTATGATCAGTTGGGTCAGTCTAGAGTAGTGGGCGGTAGTGAGTTAGCGGAGCATCCGTATAACACCTGAGGCCCAAGCCTGCCATACCCTCCTGTTTGGCTGCGGTTGAGACTAGTGCGCATGATCAGTGAGGTCAGACTCTTGCGCGAGGGCAGGGAAAGAGAGCAAGTGGTGTAGAAATGAGAACACGAAGACAGAGGAGGATGGGGAAGAGAAATGTATTTGCGTATGTATTGGGCTTGCTTATTGTTTAGGACGTAGATTGTTGCGAAAGTGTATCGTCTATCTTGAATATCTCCTTTAAGGAAGAGGTACCTGCCATTTGCATCCGACAGTCAGTCTGCTTCGCGGAATTGTAGCTTTGCCTCTAGGAGGATAGCAACCACTGCCCTGTGGGCTGTTGGATGGTTATTACAGGTGGCGTTGGGATAGTGCTTACTTTTCAGCATTGGGGCTGCACCCTCTTTGAAGTGCGTCTCTTGCAGAAAGGCTATAGATATACGTCTGTTGTAGAGGTCCCGTAGGAGTTGTGTCCTGTGCTCCGGGATGTTGAGACCATGGCAGTTCAAGGATAAGATTCGGTATGAATCGGGCTTGTAGGTCGTGAGAGGGCGAGGGTCCACGGTGACTCCCCGCAGCATCGGGTCCCACATGGGCGGGGGGGGGGGTGGAGAGAGAATGAGGAGCAAGAGAGGGGGATGAAAGAAGAAAAAAGAAAAGAGAGGGTGGGTAAAAAAAAGGGGGGGAGCGGTGGAGGTGTTAAGCGAGAGCTTGAGAAAATGGAGGGGGTAACAATCACCACTTCACTCTCCTTCCCCTTCCAAGCAACGTTACCTCAGTTAGAATTTTAAGTTAGTAAGTGAGAAATGATCAACGATCCGATCCAGTCAAGTTGTCCGCGTCCATTGCTCATTGCAAGGTCCAGTGTGAAGCGGGGGCGTCGGGAGGGGGGCCAAGTCCCCGTCACCTGCAGCAGCTCATGCTTTTTTTTTTTTTAATGACACGGGTTGTCAGTTGTCTAGGGGGTGAGCTAGGCCAGTGTTATCTGCCTACCTGAGGTGGGGAAGGTGCATACACATCACACGGGAAAATGCATAAGATACATGACATTTCACCCGTCGCATTGAGGCCTAAACTTGAGATAGTCGGGTATATAAAAGCCTGTATACATGTACATGGTAAAGTACATATTACACATTACATTTCTCCCTTTGCGTGTAGGCCTGGATTTGATACAGTTGGTTACATAATGGCCTGTATAAATTCCACAGTTCCCAGGGTTGCCCCCCTCCCCCCCACTCCCCTGTGGAGCATTGCTATCTGTTTATTGTTCTCCTTTTTCTATTTTCCTTTTGTTTTCCTTTTCTTTTCCATGTTTCTCTTTTTTCTCTCTTTTCCCTCTTTTCCCTGTTTTATTAAAAAAAATCCCCCCCCCTTCTTTCACCTTTCGTTCTTTCTTTTTTCTCTCTTTTTCTTTTCTTTCCTCTTCCCTTTCCACCCCCCTCTCCTTCCCGCATTATGCGTTCCTTTAGGGGGAAGGAATGAATTAAAGCTTATTACCTCCAAATATACATTTGAATTTAACCAAAGTAAGTATTCAAAATGCAATATTGTATTTGAAAACATTTAAGAATTTAAATTTTAAGACCAAAACCTCAGGTGCCAACTAACTTGAATGTTGATATTAAAATAGATGAGTTTATAAACCCTTCTTCAATAGCCAAATCAAAATAAACATTTTTACTTTCATGTATTTTGCAGTGTAAAATCAAGTCCATCAAGCCTCACTCACCCACATTTATACTCTTGTTATTATTACCAGCCTGTAGAGAGAACACATTTCTCTGATCATAGCCACTAGTTACTGATGTAATTATTCGAAACTGACTGGAAATGTCAGATAATGCCCTCCTTCGAAACAGTATAGGAAGATTCAATTGGTCATATCATTCCTATAGTTAGGAAGCGTGATGGTGTGAATGGACTCACAGTCAGCAATACATCAGCAGTCCAGAGATTTATAATGAGATTTAAAATGATTGATATAGCAGTAGTTTTACTTTAGAAATATGATTTAATTATATTTACTGTATGTATGCATTATGCTAAAATGCAAACATTCTTTTTTCATTCGGTTGGCATTTTTAGCACGCGGTACTGCTAGTAATGCCTTCAGGGTCCTTACAAAAACCTATAAGCAAGGTACTTGACCGTTTCTTATATATCTTTGTCACATCTACTGTATGTGAGGAAAATTGCATTTTTGCTTCTATAATAACATTTTATGCTCTGTGTTAGGTTTTGCAAGATAAAGGACATTCTATACTATCTACAGCATTTTATTTATTTTTATTTCTCTGTACTGTCTGAATATTTATTTTAACAAATAAGTGAAAAATAAAAATTGTGTTATGTTACATGATTTAAATGTATGTTGCAAAGCAATCTATACACAATATTTATGTGTCATGATGTGTTTATTTGCTAGTTATACATTCATTGCTTCAAATAAATGTTGTGCTAATGTTTTTTTCCCAATCAAAACGTGCTCAATAGTGAAGAGGTTAAAGTCTCCATTTGATCTTTAGAAATGCTACTTTTGGTAAGATTTAAAAGATCACTATAGTGCTAGGAAAACAAACTCGTGTTAATAGGTCCGCCCCACCCTCATGGCCCCCCTCCCGCCAGGCTCACAGGGGAGAAAGGGGTTAAATGCTTACCTTTCTCCAGTGCCGCGCTCCCTCGGCGCTGGGGACTCTCCTCCCTCTTCCGACATTATCCTCCGAATACGCATACGTGGCAAGTGCCGCGCGGGCATTCAATCAGTCCCTGGGATAGCATTTCTCAATGCTTTCCTATGGACGCAAGCGTCTTCTCACTGTGAAAATTGGATTAACCCTAATGTAAACATAGCAGTTTCTCTGAAATTGCTATGTTTACAGCTGCAGGGTTAACCCTAGATGGACCTGGCACCCAGACTACTTTTTGAGCTGTGGTCCTTTAAGCTTGTTTGAGCAGGATAGAAATTACTCCTAGTTTCTGTATGCCACCATTGTCCTGTTATAATTTCTTGAATATTCTGTTCACACATTGCACAGTCCTGAATAATATGTTGGTCCATTCATTCTAAATTTGGTAGATTTCCCTGAGATGTTCAAACGCAGTAACATTTTTTATGAATTGAGTTTGCAAGAACGGGAGTCTGGGGATCAAACCGGAATAAGTCATCTGATTCGGATCATTGCACAAATTTAAAGGTTTTGGGTTTATATTATTAACGACCTTTGCAAAATCACTGGGCATTTCTGCTTTCGCATTAGAATAAATACATTGTTTGCAATATACACCCTGTTCCAAATTATTATGCAAATTATATTTTTCTGATTTACCTAAATAATTGATGTAAATAACAGTCAGTATAATTCTCATGTTATCAACTATTACGAGTACAATTCAAATTTTATTGAACAAACCTCCTAATGATAACAGTATTGTTTTTAAACATAAAAAACTTACAATGCACTGTTCCAAATTATAATGCACAGTAAGTTTCAAAACACTTTTTAGGTTGTAAAGAACTGAAAATTGTCATTTGTTGTGTTTGCAGCATATTTACTGAAAACAAAAAATATTTCAATCAAACTTATAACTACATTTTAACTTTGTAAACATTTTAACAGGTTGCATTACATTTTAACATAGGACCCCTTATTTGATAGCTGCTTCACAAGTCTTGCATCCATTGAACTTGTGAGTTTTTGGGCAGTTTCTGCTTGAATTTGTTTGCAAGATGTCAATAGCCTTCCAGAGCTGCTGTTTGGATGTAAACTGCCTCCCAACCTCATAGATCTTTTGCTTGAGGATGCTCCAAAGGTTCTCAATAGAATTAAGGTCAGGGGAGGATAGAGGCCACACCATGACTTTCTCTCCTTTTATCCCCATAGCAGCCATTGATGCAGAGGTATTCTTTGCAGCATGAGATGGTGCATTGTCATGCATGCAGATGATTTTATTACCGAAAGCATAGTTCTTTCTTTTGTACCAAGGAAGAAAGTGGTCAGTCAGAAACTCCACATACTTTGCAGAGGTCATCTTTACACCTTCGGGGACCCTAAAGGGGCCGACCAGCTCTCTACCCATGATTCGGGCCCAAAACATGACTCCACCACCGCCTTGCTGACGTCGCAGACTTGTTGGAACAGGGTGGCCATCCACCAACCATCCACTACTCCACGCATCTGGACCATCCAGGGTTGCACAGCACTCATCAGTGAACAGGACTGTTTGAAAATTAGTCTTCATGTATTTTTCTGCCCAATGCAGCCGTTTCTGCTTGTGAGCATTGGTTAGTGGTGGCCGATTAGAAGGTTTATGCACAGTTGCAAGACTCTGGAGGACTCTACACCTTGATGTCCGTGGTACTCCAGAGGCACCAGCAGCTTCAAATATCTGTTTGCTGCTATGTAATGGTATTTTAGCAGCTGCTCTCTTGATCCGATGCATGGATCTGGCAGAAATTTTCCTCAATGTGCCTTTACCTGCACGAACCCATATGTGCTCTGAGTCAGCCACAAATCTCTTAATAGTGCGATGATCATGCTTAAGTTTTCGTGATATATCTAATGTTTTCATACCTCGTCCAAGGCATTGAACTATTTCACTCTTTTCAGCAGCAGAGAGATCCTTTTTCTTTCCCATATTGCATGAAAACGGTGCGCTGCTTAATAATGTGGAAAACCCTCCTTTAGTAGTTTTTCCCTAAATTGGGCTCACCTGGCAATCTAATTATCACAGGTGTCTGAGATTGTTTTCAGTGATCAAAAGAGCCCTGACACACAATGCCATCCATGAGTTAAACTGAAAAACAAAATATTTAATCTTTGTGACACTTAAATAGAATTTGCATAACAATTTGGAACAGGGTGTATGTAAGAAAGCATACATCAAATTATTTGATTTTCTATATTTTCCTAAAGAGGACCACAGGTAGAAAAATAAATGTTAATAGACTCTGGGTCTCTTTCCCCTTTCTGTCCCTATTTATAGACAATCATCAAGGTACAGTACAAACTACCGATTATACCAGCATTGCCAATTCCAATTTGATTCGTTTATACCACCAGAAACACATTTGTGCACAAGTCTAGTGCACAGCTATATAATTGTTAGCACCACACTTTAGGTTCACTATAGGTCCAATAAAGATCTAGAATATCAGCTGTTAGCTTTCTTCCACCTCTGGTAAGACATAATGTCAGATCACAGTAGCAAGTTTTAGAAATTTGCTTATTTATCTTAATACAAGAAAATGCAGAAGAGGAAACTTTCACAACAGAATTCTGATTGAGGATGGTTCACATGACAACATATAGATACATGGTTACAGAAATTCATCTATACATTTAATTTGACAAATTTAATCTTTTTCCTCGCCACATTGGGAAAATTCTAAACTAAAATGTTTCCTAAATTGTTCTTGATGTCTGAGAGTGATAAGCAGAAACAAATCCAATATACCGGTACACTAATAAAAAGTAGATCAAGTTAATTAAACAAAATTCCTTGCATTAAACAAATCTATTAAACTTTTCACCAAGGCCAGGTTACCCTTTTTGGATCACTTTAGGTTCCAAACCAAAGT